CGCTCTTTTCTCTTGTGCCATGATCCCAGCTTTGCTCTTTTTTGTCTCACCCATATTCTCATACGGCCCGATGTAAGGTAGCCTCTGCCATTCTTTTACTTTAGTCCTGAAGTTCTTGCTCAATCTCATTCCTGGTGGGTAAGCATGTTTGAAGCTATATCGGATTTCAGTTCTATCCACACCGGGATCCTCTCTACAACACTCCAGAACCCTCCATTTCTCGACCGCAGCTTCCAAATCCGATCTCTGTGCTTCAATTAGCTCTAGAACATGAGTTTTTGGTTCATGACCCTCCGAAAGCCTGAAAACATGCGGGTTTTTTGAAATCACTGAGTCCTCAAAATCGTCTGGAAGCCCGAGTTCTCTCCAAACCTTGAAAATTGCACGAAGAGGGAGTGATTTCGATACTGACATGGACAAGAGTCTAACCAAGCGCTCAACAACAACCGGTAAACTAGAACTTATCGCCACATTCTCCTGACGGGAAATCTCCATTGCAGCATGGGTTAACCTGCAAAAGGGCTGGCATTTCACAGGATCATAGAAGATATCGAAAATGTGAGGGTACTTGCGCAGAAAAGAGGTGGCGCCACGGTTGAGGTGGAGCTTCTGGGAAAGCCTGGAGAGAAACTCAAGGGGCACCGAAGGAGGATCAACAGACGGATTCGCAAGGATAAGGTCTTGTATGGCAATGACTTTGAGGAGGTTCTTGTATTTCTCCATGAGTTTCTCGAAAACAGGGTCTCTTGCTCTTGAAGCAACGTACTGAGCAGATGTTGTTTTCGATCGGATGGTGACGATTGAGTCACCAAATGGGTGAATCAGAAACGATTTCATGATGCAAAATCTCATATTTTGGAGGGTATTCGAATTGTCTTGCTACCAAAATCCTCCGCTCCGGAATTATGTCGAACAGCTTGCGTGCTTCACAAAAGACCAAATCTTTTCACGAATTCTGTCAACACACACGACAAAAGATTGAAGCTTTTCCAAAACAAAAGATTAACTGGAACCAACTCCGGATTAATTAGAAGACAAGCAAAAGTAAACTAATAACGTCCGAGGAAAAAAAAACGAAAGAGATTACTCGCTACACAGATTCGTGCGTTCTCATATACCATTGACGAAGAATCACAACAAAACCCTTACAGATTACGCAGCGTACTCTGTGTTCTTGCAAATTCTCCTCCAGAAAACCCTCCCTCTCGAGTCCATCTCGAAAACCAACGCTCCTGATCGAAATCGCTCTAGATGCTTGAAAACTAGAGGAGTTTGGAGGAGAAACGTGGACGAAGACGAGATGGTTCGGATGAAGGACGATTGTCTGAAGAAGCTCCAATGATCGGTTTCGGCATTGCGGGTTTGTACTCTGGAGTCTGGACACGGGGATATGCTTCAGAGCACGAGCTCTAAGGAGACAGGAAGATCAATGCAGAAAGAACCAAACTGGTACAATTCGGCTTTAACTTATTTATATAAAAATATTTTAAAAAACTCTCGCTAATAATTTATATAAAAATATTTATAAATACAATCAATATAAACATGGTTAGTATTTTTGGTCTGCCTAAAATATACTTGTTTAATGTGTGTAAAATTATAGTTCATTCTAATGAAATCCGAATCACATAAATAATATTATTTATCTAAAAGTATACAAATTTTAAAAAAAGTTAATTTAATGTGGAAATATTAAAAAAACACATAAAACAGGATATTTTTAATAATAAATAATTTGTTAATCATAATAAAATCTAAAATGAAAACTAGGATAAAAAACAAATACAGTTTTTATTAAAAAAAACTAAATTTAGGTTAAAAAAACTAAATTTAAAGATAATCAACTATTTGCTTGTAAAAAGTATAATATACATATTTTATAGAAATATATACTTGTTCTGATACTTCAGTTATTTTTATGGTAAGATTTTATCTTCTAACATTTTAATATATATATCAACGGCGAATATATAAATATTGTATTCTAAAAGGAATGAATAAATATCCTTCCATAATAAAGTAATGAATATTACTTCATATAATTAACTTGAACTTTTGGGGATCCATTTCGTAAAATTCATGTAAAGTGTACCAAAACGCAACAAACAGCGGCTGAGACATAAATCAAAACGCAACCGCCATTGCCGCCGGCGTTCCGATCTGATCCTCCGACCAATCCCTAGCTACACCAATCATCTTCCCAGGTTTTTGTCTGCTGGTTACGTCTTGTGCGATTTAATTTCTCGTCTTCGCTTCTGCCGACTTTGTTGGGATTGTGGGATTTTTCGTTTGGAGCTTGAATCTGCGAGTTGTAGCTGAGCTTTGATCACGATTATGAGTTATTTTCCTGCTATTATGTCATATCGAATTGTTGATGAGCTCAGAATCCTTAGATTTTCTTGATCTGGATTGGTCGAGGTGGGTTTTTGGTTGACATTTCGATTCTTTCTGCCAATCTCGCGAGAAGGGCCAGAGATAGAATGCATTGTGAGTCGTTTTTCTTTTTCTGTTCTGGCATTCCCGATTATCGTTCCTGGGTTCGAGTGATATAGCTTTGTCTGTCGTGATTTTGCTTCACCAGTCTGTCCTTGAAGATGCAATGCTTGTGTGGAACTACACAACTGGCAGGGTTCGTAGATATCTGCAATTTTCTTACTTTCCTGTGTTCCTTTGACGCTGCAATAGTCAAATTCCCCTTCCATTTAGCTCGCGGTCGTGATGAAAGAAGCTATCTGTGTCTTGATAGGGTTTGAAAGATGTCGCATGTAGTTATCTGCAATGGCACATAAGAAGCTTGTACTGATCAAAATGTTGTTCTTGTGATTGCTAGGATTGATGTAGGCTTACCGCTGAGGTTTTTGCTTTTTTGCTTCCATCCATTGCACAGATCTGCCAAAGAGGCATTTCTGCTTATTGGGATTTGTATAAAATTACTGCCTTCTTTGGATTCGTTTAGCCAGTCTGTCACGTTGAGAGATCCTAGAGACCGACCTGACACTAAATGAATGTTTCTTGAAGGAATGTTTAATCCTGAGGCAGGGAGGTCGTCGCACACATTTATGGTTGGTGGAAAATCTTGTTGACTAGGGAGGACAGTTGGTTGGTTAATTAGTATTTTGATGGAGCAGAGAATGGAGCAACGTGGTGGTGATACAACGGAGAGTGTATACACTGCGGAAGATATTAACCGAGAACATGAATTTGAACCGTTCAATATTGAAAACGATATCAGGAAGGAGACGAGTTTCTCTAGCAGTTTCAGTGGTGATTCCAGTTCCAGTGATAACCTTCAAGGGTTACCTAAAGCTTCGAAGGATGTTATTTCTGCAGCTGATGTGCTAAAAACGTTGTTTTTTGTACTTGTATGGTATACTTTCAGCACATTTTTGACTCTGTAAGTGTGTATTTCTGACTATCCGTCATCCTTATCTCGTTTTAGTTTTTTACAGCCAGCATTTAAGCTGTTTTGCCTGTTTTCTAGGTACAACAAAACTCTTTTAGGAGATGATCTGGGGAAGTTTCCTGCTCCTTTTTTAATGAATACAATTCACTTTTCTATGCAAGCTGTTTTATCCAATATGATCACATGGTACTGGTCCGAAAGATTTCAGCCCGGTGTTACCATATCATGGAGAGACTATTTCATTAGAGGTAAACTAACAAAACTTATGCCATTTGGTTATTTTTTTTTATTCTGTCGGTATCAGTTTTTTGGTTTCTTATCGGTGTTGAGGACATGAAGAAGCACTTTACAGCTTTATTTTTGCACACCATAGTATAGTTGAGAGAACTTACTTATGAAATGTCTTCTAGCATCTATAATATCTGGTGGTGTTAAGAGATAGGTTGTTTCTCTAAAATTTAGTTTGTTTCATTAAATTTTCAGAGAAGATTATTGTATCGACTTTCTATGGACTTAATGATACAGATGGACTTTTCCTTTCGCAGTTGTACCAACAGCATTTGGAACAGCCATGGACGTCAACCTAAGTAACGCATCACTTGTTTTCATTTCTGTTACCTTTGCAACAATGGTTAGATATTTCTCTTGCCATAGTAATAATATGATTGTATTTCGTCTCAATGAATGGTTTGTGAAAGTCTTTTTATGGATTTTTTGAAGAAAAGGGATAACAGTTGTCTAACTAAACTTGTTGTTTTGACATAATTTCAGTGTAAATCTGCAGCTCCGATATTTCTTCTTCTGTTTGCTTTTGCGTTCAGGTGCTTCATCTGTAACTAATGTCTTGCAAATTCATTGTTCTAACGATCATGTCGTATAAAACATGCATGAAAGTTTCTGCATTTGTGAGGGAGAGACAGTCATGGGTATGATTCGGACAAAGTAGAACTATCTTCTTACGCTCATATCAGTTAAACATCTTACTTGGATATTTGCTGCTTATCTTATCAGGTGGGTCTATGTGCAACATGTTATTCTGACACAAAATTTTCTCTTGTAGGCTGGAGTCTCCAAGCCTGAAACTTTTTGGTATTATGTTAATAATTTCCGCTGGAGTTCTGCTGACAGGTAATCACTTAACATGTATATTGTGCTTTCAACTAAGCCAACTTGTCTTCCTTTTCATTGCGATATGCTTCCAGATCTCATGATTTTTCCATTCCTTCTGTTTTGAGGGATGGTTCGAATTGAACCATTGAATCTGTTGGTTCTTTGTTCATTGCTTACTTGTATTTGTTTGCATTCAGTTGCGAAGGAGACAGAATTTGAGTTTTGGGGTTTTGTTTTTGTTATGCTTGCTGCTGTCATGTCTGGTTTCCGCTGGTGTATGACACAAGTTCTTTTGCAGGTATTATTTACCCAAAGTTTAGTTTCTTTTCAACCATATCCTGAGTGTTTATATATATATATATATGTATTGACTCTTTTCTTTTATGGATGTCATCTTCTGATATTGTGGTGCATTGACACGGACATGGATTATAGAAAGAAGCCTATGGTGGGTTCTGATCTTTCACTTTTCTGTATGTATTGTATTTTCCTTTTCGTTTTTGTTTCTCAAGTTCCTAGACCGATTTCAATCTTCATGGGCATATCTTCCCTTATGAACATAGTCATTGTTTCCCTTGCACAATTTAATCATACACACATAACTACCTCCATCTAGGTGTTGTCTGACCCATGAACTCTCTTTGTCGAGAAGTCTTCTCTTTGGTAACTTATGTCTTAATATTCATAACATCGCTGTATTAATTTTAATTTATGTTTATTTTCTAGGCCTGAAAAATCCATTTACCTTTATGAGTTACGTGACCCCGGTGATGGCTTTGGTGACCGGTCTTCTTTCACTCCTCTTTGATCCATGGAGTGAGTTTAGAAGCAACCAATACTTTGATAGCCGATCACATATAGCTAGGAGTGGCTTCTTGATGCTTTTCGGTGGAGCCCTTGCATTTTTTATGGTGAGAATCGGTATTTACCTTTTTCACAACTTGTGTACTAGCAATGTTCTCTATTGTGTAGAAAAAAAGGGTAAGTTCTCTATTTTGAATGCATAATTGGACTCCATTGTTGAAATGGCTTCATTTTTTGGCTTTCAGGTATTAACAGAGTATGTTCTTGTTTCTGTGACCAGTGCCGTAACCGTCACGATAGCAGGTGTCGTTAAAGAGGCTGTCACCATAGTGGTATATAACCTCCTAGGCAGCTTTATACTTGTGGATGGTTATAGTCGGTTTGCTTTTGCATATGATCTCAATTTGTCATCTATTTCTCGGTGAAAACATGATATTTTGATTAGAGAATGGTGTGATCCTACTTACCCTTATCGATGTGATATTAGCATACTCTAATCGATACGATACTACTTTTCATGTATATATTAAGATCGTTAAAGCAGATATACATGTTCGATCCAAAAGTATAGCTCTTTGTTGAACTCAAAACCGGCTGTAACTTTTTTTTTAATTTCAATTTTTTGTGGCATTTCAGGTCGCAGTGTTTTACTTCCACGATGAATTTACGTGGTTGAAAGGTGTCGGACTGATCATCATCATGTTTGGCGTCTGCTTGTTCAACTGGTACAAGTAAGTTTTCCTTCCTTTTGTTGTCTGAACCTTTTTTTTCCGGTGAATGGTTCTCTATTTTCTTTTAATGGGGGGACTGAAAAATCCTCGGTAAAGATGCAAAAACATGAACATCGTTTCGATGATATATTCTACGTACCCTCAAGTTTAGCTAACAATGCGTTGAATATCCATATGCCGATAAACCAACACTGAAACTGAAATGCTTTTGCTTCTTTCCAGATATGATAAACTACAAAAGGGTCATAAATCGGAAGACGAGAAGAATTTATCCGCTTCAAGTCAGACCGGAAAATACGTCATTCTCGATGAGATGGATGATCAAGAAAACAGTGTCTAAGATTTTTTTCCGCATCCACACAGTGTCATTAGCTTGGTGTCACAGGTAAAAAAAAAACCCTTTTTATGATACTCCTGCATAAATCATAAATCCTGAAAAAAATTGCCTGAGGAATGATCCTTATAGGTTGTGATTCATCGATATTCTTTCGCAATCTTTACTCTGAAGACACGGATTTTGTTGATATACGTGTAGCTATTTCGAAGAAACAAGCAAAGAAACCATCTCTGTTACAATGCCGAGAAATCAATTGTTTTGTTGATTCGTAAATCCTTTGTGGTTCATGTGTGTATTGCCATTGGCTAATTTCATCCATCTCTGTTACAATGCCGAGTTATCCGACCTCGATCTTGTGGGGACGTGTGCCCGAGTTTCGCGTACCACGGGTTGTGGCAAGAATTCGGATAACAGTGGATACCTGACCCATATCCACCCCTAGAGAAAGAAAAAGTCCTTGTCTCTGAAAATACTTGAAAGAGGTTAGTTCATAGTACTAATGTCAGGCATTTGTGCATTCTTGTCTCTGTCGGTATACATTGGTAATTTTGGTAGGAAAAAAACCCGAAATTTGATTTGATCCACGAGTCGAGTACCCGAACATGATAGAGAGAAGTTCGGTAAATTTGATGGCAATATTCGAAATAGGGTTTAGGGTAACTCTAAGAACCCTCGAACAAGCTGTATGTTCCATAACAGTTCCATTTTATGTTACAGAGTCAGTAAATTTTGGAGCCAGAAGGCTTTCTGTTGATTCCAGAATCTGTTTTTTCACAGAGACGAGATTCCATATCTTGTAAGTACTCTGTTTCCAGAATCTTCTTCTTATCACGTGTGATTACATCAAGAGATCAACCAAAAGAAATCAAATTGATAGAATAATCAAAGGAAAGTTCTCTTCTTTTCAAATGTGGCATCCGAAGCAGAGGCAGAAGAAACAGAGCGAGGAGACAAGAACAAGAGCTTCGACAACACCACGTTCTCCATTATGCCCTTCCCTATAATACCCATCCTCTTCCACTTCAACGCCGCCGCCACGTCAGCTCTTCTTCCTTCTTCTTACCTGTGGCCCGCTTCTTCGGAGATACCCACCTCTTCATCGGTCCCACTCTCTCTCTCTCTCTCGCACGCGCAGTGCAGAGTTAGTTCTTCTTGCAGAACAGGGGGCTTTGGTCGTGTAAACATGTTATACACTAAAGGAGAGGGGATGGCATCTCGTTGGATTGGTTTGGAAGAAGAGGGTAGTTCGGTGAACTCGGAGCGAGGGGATGAGATGCTCTGTTGCCTTTTCTTCAGGCAGCGGGAAAGCGAAGCGATTGGAATACGAGAGGGGTGTTTTGGTAATTTCAAGATGGCTTGGTGGAAGAACGGTCCATCCAGCAGCATGTGTGTTGCCGATAATTTACCAAATGACAGTAAATGCTATGACTTGGATTTTGTGTTGAATAGAAGTTACATCTCATTAGCTTTTCACCTTTAAAGAGTCTACCAAAGGTCTGGAACAAAGGATACAGATCAGTATGAAAAAAAAAACCCCCCAAAATTCAGCGACAAAGGTGTTGTCCTTGCAAGCTGAACTTGTAAAAAACCATGGCCACCCTGCCATGCTCTATGACTTGAGAGAAACTAACACCTCCTCTCGAGACAGATTCCTGGAAAACACAACACCAAAAGGGAACTCAGCTCGTGAGGATCATTATCGAAAGCCAGCTTCGAGTGCCTCTGCAACATTCTGAAACACACGCCGAAGATAAATTTTTCTGAGGAATCGATGCAAAAAATCTGCTTCCTAGGATTCTGTAATGATGCATCAGTCGAGTGGCAATGGAAATGAAGGGTTTGCTGTTCAAGCAAGATTGGATAATTCAAGAGAGATAACGATCCATAAGTCATGGATATTGTATGACATCTCAAATTTCCCAAAGGTATTATTATCCATCATGGTATCCATTCATTCCTCAAAGGACCATAAGCTTTTTAGCCATCAGAGAGTAGCTATAGAAGCCATTTGGAGCAGCAAGGGGATCACTGTTGTTATAACGCTTATACATTTATTTCGAGCGACTAATACACGTACATGTACAACAGGGTGTTAACAAATAACTCATGAATCACAAGAATGGAAGATATCCCTCCACCAATTCTTGTTCTAGGTTAGAAGATAACGCTTGCAGAGATACCATAAGTAAGCACGAAGAATGAGATAGTTGTTGACAAGAGATAAGATCATACAGGAAACAGGTATAATGTGAATAGGTTTCTAGAAGGTGACAAATGGAGATAAACCGACAGCTAAACCGACCAAAGCGACAACATGAAGAAGAGATCACTAAATTTTACCTCTTGAAGACGTCTGAGACGTAGCGGGATCCATTGTACAGCATGAACCACAATAAGACTACCACCAAAGCATCTGAGGAGAAAAGTTGAGGAAAAGAAAGCCAAGAACTTGTCTTTGCAAAAGGAGCCAAGAAGATTTGAACATGTTTCTAAAAGTAGCATAATCAGATAACACCTAAAGAATCCTGCACCAAGGTATTATCAACCCCTTTTTCAGAACCCTAGAAATGATCAATCTTTGCCAAGAGTTCCAACTGCTGAAC